AAATAAAAAAGTAGAGATCTAACAGGGGAAATACAGAAGAAGGAAGTTTCCCTTAGGCAGACCAGAGGCACAGCCTTTCTTGGCTACAATGTTTACTTGAGAGTTTACACAATGTGGAAAAAAAAGTCTAAAAAAGCAATCGTCTATACAAAATCTGTTGAATGCACATCATGAAGTCTTGCTGTTAGACATAATAATCCCTATTTTGTGTGCGAAATTTATTCCTAGCATTTGTTATTACACCTCTGAACATAAACATAAAACACATACGAAACTTAACAGGCAGGACAATTCACTCGTATAGATCATCCAAAACAGATTTGACATGGTCCCTTGTATCAGATGGCCAAGCACATCTTTCTTGTAAGATCTTTTAACACGCTGTATATCCATCAGCATAAAAGAGACATTTCTGCCTCTGGTGTTCCATGCTGATATCACATGACCACTGTAAAATAGGTTCAAGGGGCTCATGAATCTGCCTTAGCCACCAAAGATAAACAAATCTGGAACTCATTAGTCTTCACACGGCAGTGTTTTGGCACACAGAGGAAAAGGAGTTATCAAGACTAAATTCAGAAAGGTTGATATATGTATCTACATCTCAAAATGTCTGTTAAACTGCCAACATGCTTCACATAGTCCCTGTGAGGTTTGTATTTTTTCCTGCATTGTTTAAGCTGTCAAATGTTAATGTGTTTCTGGCTTAATTTATTACACTGATATGACAAGTTATGAGCAAATGTATTCTTGTTTACTACTGTTAATATTTTGGTTATACTCATTAAGAGCAGTTTTAAGATTAGTCTTTTTTGTTATTTCACATAGTACAAAAACAAGCAAGAGTCTTTAGTGACGACTCCATCTCTCTTCAGCTTACAGCACAAGGTTTTAGAATGGAATAGTTATTCGGACAATTAACGGCATCACCACAGATCAGAACAAATCCTAAAGAAGCGGTCTCCCCGACTCTGCCTGATGTATGAACTGTCCTGCCACTCATAGGCTCTCAACTAGATACAAGATATGGATAGCTGCCACTAAGTGAAAATCCAGAACGTGGTTCTAAGCGGATAGAGGGACTTTAATCAGTAGCAGGAAGCTGAGATTCTTATAATTTGCTTTAAGGCTAGAAGGATCATCCTGTCCAACCTCAGAAATGACAAAAGCCACAAAGTATGTCCCAGCATTCCCTGTGTGGGGCCCAGCAGCTTTCTGCATTAATTTAGGCATCCTTAGTCTCCAAGTGCAAGTCTCACAAAGCAGCGTGCAGCACTATCTTGGGTACGAAACACGTGGTAGGTACGTTCCTGAGTAACACCTGGAGATGTTCACGCAGCTCAGCAGTCTTTGCAATGCCTTCCTTCATTTCAAATAATGCTGCCTCCTTGTCATGTTGATATAAACTTATGGTCAAAGCTAATCAGAACCTCTTTAGCAGCCAATTTCATCAGCCGTTATGTCAGAGAGGCCCAATGCAGAGTTGACAGCATCTGTCAGCTCAGACATCTTTAGGAAGCAGTTTGTGTGGAATGTGCATACCAGTATCTGAATAAAAAAAATTTAAAAAAGACTGATCACCAGCAGATTTCAGCTCCTACAAGCACCACAGAAGTACTAGATAGATGGAAACTAAATTCACTGCCTGGCCCCTAATACTACTTCTGAGATTTAGTGAATTATATATTTTAATCAAAAAACTAAGTCTATTTATTGGCAGAACTTAGAAATCCTTTATACATCTAAAGCAATGTGATAAGCCCATATAATGTCAGGCTGTCATTTACACAGCATGATGCAACATGACATAGCTCAGTCACAAACCCTATTGTGACACAAATTTAGAAGTAGTGTTGGATGAAGATCTGTAATTCTGGCACCGGAATGATTTTAATATTCCAAAGTTTGTTTTCTTTCTGATTTGGAAGGCAAAGAAGGAAATCTAGAAGGCTGGAAAAATTATCAAACAATTTTGATAAGTTTCTAATTAAAATTCCACTTGGCTGAGTTATACGGAGCCAGAAACATGGAATTCCCAGATGAGCTGGGAGTTTGAGAGCTCAGGAGCCAGTGCTCCTAGGCTCCTGGCTTCCTGTAAGCCCTTAAACCCCAGATCTGCAGCAACCTGCCTGACAGGCTGTTGAAGTTGCCTGGCAGCTTAGACCCCTATGACTCTTCTGCTCCACACTGAACCAGCTACCAAGCCCACTCAGATCCTAGGATTTCTGACTTTGAGCAAGTACCTCACAGGTAATTGTCCAGATAATTGTCTATGAAATCAACATCTGACTGGACAGGAGCAAGACTGTTGATGCATATGACCTCCCTAATCTGAGGGCTTTCAAGTGGCTATATATCTGGAAAGAAAACTGCACAATTTCATGATAATCAGGGACATGATTCAAAGTATATGCAAAATAGTGAAAATTTCTCTTACCTTCAGTTGCCTTTGGGCCAGTAGATTACATTTACAATGCTTTGCATCAGTATTTACCATGTATCGCAGAATTGATTGCACTAGTGACATATTGCCTACAAAGCATTTGCTCAGTAGTATTTATTTATTTGGCAGAGTTTCTTAGTAGTCAAGTTGGGATTTTTCTTATCCAGTAGCTGAATGAGGCAGATGGTTTTATTCAGTGTGGCTACTGAAAGGGCCAAGATAATTTTGGGTCACATATGCAAAGTCTTCAAAATCATGGCCAAGAATGGAGTCCCTGTCTCCTTGCTGTAGCATTCAATAGCTCTCTCTGCTTGAGGAACACTGACAAAATTATGGAGAATGTAGCAAAGAATAAACATAGCAATTTTTTGGAATGATTTTTACGAAGGCAAAGCATATGGACTGAATGGCCTTAGAGGTTCTTTCTATCTGTACTTTACACAGTCCATGGGGAAGGGAAGGGTTCTTGTGCCTTATTAGAAATGGATTTTTTAAGTGTGCATACTTTAATAAATATGAAATATCTTATGGACGTGTCCCCCCAAAATACCTCTGAACATGCTTACCCAAGGACACCATCAAAGGCAGGTAAAGGTTAAGGCATACTGGGCCTTGTTTTTATAGTACATCTGATTGCTCCTACTGCTGCATCTGCTGCTCAAAATGAAGCTGCTGTATCAATAGCTTGAGTTCTTCCCATTGACCAATTGTCAGCACAAGGATCAAATTTTCACCCTAGAAGTACGAGGAAGGATAATGCAGTATTAATACATATAGCCAGGTCGTTTTGCATCATCTCCTGCTGCTTTTCCTCCTGAGACTTCTCTGTGAACATGTGTTCAGACATTATTTCACATGGTTCTGCCTCCAGAAAGTGCAATCCTCTTTGGCATAGCAAAATATTTGGTGGAGGAGGGTGCAAGAGGTTTAACAGATACAGCTTTCCCCTTTAAAACTGTGTATGTGTTTGTTTGCATTTTGTCTCAGACAAGGATGCAAAAAATTTCACCGTTTCTACATTCTTTTCCGTGCGCATTTCTTTTCTTTCATAATACTGGTTGCAGGACCATAAACAGAGTCACAGCCAAGTCAGGAACACTAGATGAACTCCAAGTTCATCTGCAGCTTTAATTGCAGGGACTCATTTTTCATCATGGCTCTGTTTTGGAAACATGCAAATAACAACTCCTTTTTTTTAATCCCTCACTATGCGACTACCTCTTTCACTGGTAATTCCAGGACTGCCTATATGTTTTGTTATATTTCATGTAGATCGACAATCCTAAATGTACTCTTTCTACCACCTACCAGACTCATGCACATATTTTTTCAATTCTCTACCATGCAATTCAAAACAAGACCAAATTCCTCATTGCTACAGGCCAGCCCAGCCTCACTGAAAAAACATGCCAATTTGTAGAGGTCATATATACGGTTTGTCATAGGCACACAGATTTAATCTGTTTCAGTTATTTTTACCTCTGAGCAGAGGTATCCTGACACTCAAATAACCCAGATTTCCAGATTAGGATGAGGAGGCAAACAGGCTACAAACCTTCTTTACTTGCTAAGCCATGGAAGACACCATGCTCTTCTCAATGGCTTGTAGTTAATCATTGTTGCAGCTTTCATTCATTTTCACTTCACCACCATTTTCTAAATTGGCCTACAATGCTGACATTTCTTCTGTCTAAACATGCTTTCTCCCTTTATTTTTTTTGTCCTGCTTCTTGACATTTTTATTTTCTGGGTCACACCCCACTCCACTGCATATTTTGAGCAGAGCAATAAAACTACTTACATAAAGCTCTGCAGGAAATGGACCCTTTGCAATGAGCTCTAATGATGTTTGATTGTTAGATTTGAATAGCTGGAATATGTTTCAAGGCATGAAAGTGCATTTTTTCCATACGCTGTGGAAAGTCAGTGATGATGGGTAGATCTCAGCCTGCATTGGAAATATAGTACCTCTCTAACAAGTTGTCAATCTCAATTAAGACATCAACATGTCAAATTAAGAAGGTACTGCTGCACAGTCTATTGTTGAATTGCATGTCAGGTGAAATAAGCACTAATTATACACTTAGCCAAATATGTCTATTCAATATTACTTCAAAACTAAGGTCACTGAGTTATTATGAAGTGGTAGTTTACACTATTTTGGATCCCACCAAATGGCAGGTGGCCACACAAATATGCAACTCAGCATGTTCTGTTTGGTCCCCACAGCTGTGCTGCCAATCAGTTAAGGATGGCTGCAAGTAAATGCTAATTAGCTTCTGTTGATCTGCATACTCCAGCAGCCTCCCAGGATTCCCATTTTGATATGCAAGATTGCCAGTTGGGTATGTGATTGAATTAAGAACCAGAAAAGATTTTATCTTCCATGCAGGAAAATGTGAGTCTGAATCCCCAGCAGAGGCTGTTATCACTCTGATTTATGTTTGGCAGTGCCTGTCATTGCAGTGGTAGCAAAGGTTCAGTGCTAGAGGGTGCTGCCTCCCTTCTTTTGAGCATGAAAGAACCTCTTAGCCCTATTAACAGCAAACACACTTACCATCTGGGGTCTGACCCAGTCCTGGCATTCACATTTGCAAGGATTCTGCATGTCTGCCTCCCCACTCAGGGTCCAGCAGATGCTTTTCTGTAGGTTGACTGGGCCTGGAAAAATAAAATATGAGGGGGGAAAAAAAGACAATTAAAGAGCAGAAAGATTTTTTTTTCTTTCTTTTTTTTTTTTTGCACGTTGATAGGGTTGCAAGAGGCCAAAAAAACCCCAAATATTTATATCAGGGTTGTCAATAACCCATTAATAGTTGGCTGCTTGAGTTTGCAAGGACTGTTTAAGAAAGAAATGGTTGGAAAGTTGCACTTCTGGGACCGGAGTATTTAGGTTTTGCACCTGTACTTCATAAGGGAGAAAAAGTATGATCTCATTATGTAAACATTACAATAAGAATTTTCAGAAATTTTGCTTGGCTCTGCTATTAGTGAGTTTTGGTTCCCTGCAGTGACGAAACAATATTTCTTAGAAACTGCTCACCGCATATGATGGCTAAATACAATTTATCTCATCTTTGAGACTTTTCTCTTTAAGACTTTATCAGACATTGCAGGAAAAATGATTATTTAATTGCAACCCCAAGTTTCTGTAGGTTTTTATCATATTGTTTCTTGACTTTAAGATGTAAGTCAAAAAAGATTGACTTCAGGCTGATGCAACATTGTATGCTGCCTTAAAAGTGCCAGGAAATGGTTCTTCCTTAGGGATTTAAAGTTATTTTCCTTTTTAAATGATGCCATTCTCCCATTCATTAAGCTTGTCAGCACTCTGCAGTAAGCAAGACACCTAAGTAAAAGAGCAATAGTCCAGTCCAATAGAGTTTATATGGGAAATTAATATAAGAGACTTCATTCCAAATTTCAGTAGCATATTTAGTGTAAAAAGGCCTGAAAATGGGATTATGATCAACAGTGCTTTAAAACATATTATGTCTCTAACAGTCGAGGAAGTCAAAAACATCATCTTCTTGTAAAGGACATTAGAAATAAACAGATGGATTAAGAGACTTCAGTATATGTCCCAAATATTTTCAAAACTGCTCTATTTATGGAGTCATAATGAATAAAATGATTATGGAAAATACATTTTAAAGTAGTAAGTAACTTCCCAAGAATTATAAGTCCACCAAGATCCCTTCTCCTGCACGTACAATTATAAATACAAAAGGAGTCTTGGCGCCAATTGTGAGAATAACCTGCAAAAAAAATTGGAATATCTCAAGTGATATCAAATGACAAGCTTCAGTGTGGGGAGAAGCAGAAGCTTATGTATGATTCCATCTGCTGAGAATATTATCTTAGAGACTAATAAAGTTATATTTTTGTGTGTTATAGAGATATTTTCAAGAAAGAGGAATTATTAATGAAGGAAACTGAACACTACTAAAGCCTGATAAGCCCATGCTTTTAGTTAGGACAGTTTTTAATGGGATACACATTATCATGACATCTACGGCCCCAATTCAACAAGGCCAGGAAGTGCACGCTTAAATGAAGGATCCTTGAGGTCAGTGAGACTTGTATGCTTTGTTGAGTTAGGGCCTAAGGCTTCTCGAGTTATTAAAAGAATATATCATATTCCTCTTTGTTAGGCAGACTGCAAGGATTAGATAGTTTGGGATGTGTTGTTTTTATTTTTCCTAGTGACACTGTGGGTGTAAGTCAAGAGCAGGATTAAGTTTTGCCCTGCAGATGCTAAAGTTCATAGCTGTTCTGCTCTATCCTGGGTGCAAGTTTCAGACTTTCTACAATAAGTGTTACTTTAGCAAGGGTATTTTTTGTGTGGCAGCACTTCTGACTACACTAGATTAGCATGTTTGAAATGTAAAACATGAGGGTACTTGCTCAGCTAATAGATTAACTGAGAACATATATCATAGTTTGCTACTGACATCTTTGTAAGTAAGTTAACACATGCCTTAACACATCACACAAGTCCATACAAACACAGATAGCAGAAGCCAAAAAGTGTCACTAAAAGTACAGTTTAACCCATTTTTGTTTTTTAATCATTTTTACTATTTATACAAACCATAAGGAGGCTTTAAATTGCTCTGTTCCCTCTGTTGTCAGAGCACCTCTCAGAGGTATGCCACTTCTCCAAGCTTAGCCAAAATAGACTAGGATTTTACAGTCTGGGAGGGAGGGATTGGGGGAGAGGAATAAATACTGCGCTGCATAAAATCTAAACAAATGCAAAAAAAAAAAAAAAACCCCACACAGAGAAATATTATTTACTATTTCTCAGAAGACTAAAACTAAAGCTATCCAAAGACATTATCAAATAGCTTAAAATAAAGAAAAAAAGTGCCTTTTATTTAAACAGATGTGATACATGTGTAAGTGTAAACTAATAATCATTACTAATCAGCAGCAGTGCAGGTTCTGCACATGCAAAGGTATTAAAAGAGGAAGGAAGTTCATCACTTTTCCTATCCTTAGGGCCCTCATGCTTAGCCTGCTGCACTAGGCTCCAGTGACCCCAGTCACTCCTGCCTGATCTCCTCTAGCCCCAGGCTTCTTTCCCAATATGCCACAGGCCTGTAATAAGGCTGGTCTGTGCTGCTGATCATGTACAGCATATCTCAGGACTTATTTTCACATTTGTATTTGTGAAAACAAGGTATTCTTGCAGGTACTGCACAGTTCCCCACGGAACTCCTCGTCAAGGAAAGTTGCAGGGACCAAAAACATAAACCAGTTAAAAAATAGGAAGGGATTATACAAACTCGGGCAAAAAGGGCTACCAAAGATGACAGAAAGGATGCAAATACTAACTCGGGATCTTCAATCTACTGATTGCTGAAGGATGGGAGGACAGACCATGGAAGGAAGCAGCCTGCATTTCCTTGAGACTCCAAGGTTAGCAATATTTTAGTCCAACCTGCTACAGACGTTGGTAGGTATTAATACTGGAAGATCACAGCACAGTTAGAATCCAGGAGTGCTGCCACTCCATCCCTATTCTGCAAATTAAATATCATTAGTGACGCCCCTTTAGCTTTAGGTTGTTATTTTTTCTTAAAAATAACTAACTAAATAAAAACACACCCCTAGTTTGAATTAGTCTTTGACAGATATTCTGCATCTGCCCTTTTGATTTTGTATCATGTCCCAGGTATGTGAAACTTGGGTACTTCTAACATTCAGTCTGCTTCTGCCATAAAATAAAAATCCTCCCCACACCGCTAAAACAACAGCTTTTAATATAGCCCCTGTTGCCAAGTTTTCAGTATTGTTTTCACTAAGAGATAAGGTATAAGAAGTACTCAGGGGAGGACAAGTTATGCAATTATTCTGAAAATTCTTTTGTTGTTACACAACACTACATCTACTCACAAACAGAATTAACAAATTTAGGCTAACATATTTTGGAAAAAAAGATCTATTCATTTGTTCTTTAAGTGGACTGCTGAAATAGTGAGTAATACTGCTTGCAAAAGGGCTGAACAGAGAAAAGAAATATTAGAACAACTCATTAATGTATGATTCATTAGATTAAAAGAAGAAAAATTCTGTATGTATCTGTAGCTCTAACATTCACACTTCAATATTGTCAGTAAATGAGTGGTCCCCCCTTGCAAGGTAGAGTCTGATTTTCATTCCT